GGTGATTCTGATGAGAACAAGACGAGAAATCTCCTCAAAATGAGCAAGTCTGAAGCAAGTATGATGGTACGTATTCTGAGTGGACGCACAGGATGTGTGCAGATGTGCTCGTACATCTGCACAAAATTGGCCGTGCGTATTTAGACAAATGTAGAAAATGTGGAGAGGACAGTGAAACTCTAGAGCACTTTCTTTGCCACTGTCAAGCATTTGTCGAAATATGATCCAAGTATCTTGGAAGTGATGTTATTCCGGAAATTACATTCCTGACTAACACTGATTGGAAAATTCTTAGGAATTACGTCCTGAAAACTGAGTTTCTCAACATTGAAAAGTAATATACTAAGTGAACAAAATTTTTTTTCATGAAAAGGAGCGCACAATTGGCCCGATAGTGGCCTAGGTGTATTTCTTCGGATTTGATGTACTATAAATCCTTCTAGCAACCTAATCTAACCCTAATCTAGATGTACACTACAATCTAGTCAATAGTCGAGATATAGCTTACTCTAAATTCGATACTATATAAATATAGTCAACATATTACTTATATAGACCTCTGTACAGTCCAACCTATTACCTATTCTATAACCAAGACTTCGGTCTTAGTTAAGACATTAGTCTGCACTAGTCTACAGTCCATAGTATAGAGTAGACTATAGTCAACTATTTTGACTCTACAGTATAGACAATAGACTACTGTATAGTCCAACCCATTATCTAGTCTATAGCTGAGACTTTGGTCTATAGTAGTCAAGACTTTAGTCTGCTCTAGTCAAGACCCTTTTCTAGTAAATAGTCTAGACATTAGCCTACTCTATATTCGAGATTATAATCAATTTTACAGTCAAGACTATGGTGTAGTCTATAATCGAAACTATAATTTGTATTTCAATCAAATCTATAGTCTACTCGATCCTATATCTACTAAGTCTAGTCTATACTCGACACTTTAGCTTACTGTAAAGTCGAGACTACAGTCAACTCTATAGTAGAGACTATAATCTACTTTCCAATAATCTATATAGACCAACCAAACATACTATAGTCGAGAGTATGATATATATTATAGCAATAACTATAGTAGCTACTATAGTCCAATCTATAGAAGTAAACTCTTTATTTGAGAACAAAGTCTTCTCCAAGATCGACTATATATTTTACTGTATTTTTGGGACCTTGTTCAACTAAAGTCAGGACTTTGATTTACTTTGCTAAAGCCTTTTGTTTACTCTACTATAGACTACTGCATAGTCCATTTTATAGTCTGCTTTATAGTTTATAGTAAAGTGTCCTCTATAGTCGAGACTTTGATGTTTTGTATTTGGTAATTATTGGCTCTGGAGGATATCATATTGATGGTGCTGATCAACAGTATGACACCTTGCTGACTTTCTTGCTTTTTGTTTGTTGTTGTTTTATTACTTAAATGGAAAATTTATTCTAGAGAAATTGAAAATATCCTTATTAAATTTTCTAATAATGAAATTTATCAACATTTCGAAATATCATATACTTCAGACCCATTGTGTGGTTATTTAGTTTTCTTGTTTATATTTTTATGTACTGCAGGAATATATTGTATTTACTAAAAAGAACTTAATATAGCTGGCGGTTTAAATAATATGCAAGAACGGAGGCTGTATGCCTGCCAGTACCATGTTTGGCTACTATTTTCTTCTTCTTGCTTTTGTAGTTCATTTTACTTCAGTTTTAGCAGTTTTTTGGTACGATTTAGATTCTATGCCATGCGTAGAAACATATAAACAAACATAAACTTGCAATATTGGGGCTATAGAGGCAACAACACCAAAAAAAAACTGCCACAAAAAAAGCTATATAGTAGAGATGCGTATTATGCCTACATATCCGGTTCCATATAATAATGGTATGCTGATACATGTTGCAGTTTCTGTTGCCTAGCTGTTAGCGAGCATATGTTTGTTTGTTTGTTTATGTATGTTTGTAGCCAATCTGTGTTATAAAAATTGTGAATATTCATAGCTTTAGTCTATATTTAGACTTAATGGATTTTTTTGGTTTAGTTTTGTATGTAAACATACATATTCAGTTGAAATATAAAATCAACTAACTAGAAGAAAAAAAACTACAAACAAAAAACTATATCACGAAGTTCAATTTTTATAAAAAAAATAATATAACAAATTCAGCAATCACCCTAATTTTTTTGTTGTACAACAAAATTTACACATATATTTTCTTTACTTCAATTTTCTTTGTCTATTACTAACAAGGTTTGTTTCTTAAGTCTTTTGTTTTTTTTTTTATATCGCTTAACCGTTTAAAAGTTTATTGGTTTTGTTTCCAGTATTTAAACCAACAAATCATAATAAATGCCAAAAGTCTATAGAAATATTATTCAATGTGCAGTTTTTTATACCACATTAATTGCTCCATATTAACTCATGTACATACAAATGTATGTGTACATATACATACATATGTATATATGCAGTTAAATTGCAAGAACTGAATAATTGCGGTTTATGTTTTTTAATAAGCTTTATATAAATTTAATGAACTGTTGCTATAAAATACATACAATTGTATATAAACAAAACTATAATTAGAAAGAGAGGCGTATGAAAAATCATAGTTGTATTTTCCTTAGTATTTAAAAAATTATGCTTTTTATAAAATAATAATAATAGAAAATAAGCCAGACATGCTGTACTTTATGGTTTGAGAAAGGTTTAGCGTAATATGTTTTGAATTTTTTTAAGTATCTGTTATCATATCATAAAATTATAGAAATTTAAAAAGCAAAGTTACCCAAAAGAATGCTAAAGCCCCTCCTGTACATAGATTTTCACAAACTCCAGAGTATATTTACTATTTTGTGTCTAATTGTAAACCAAACTAAAATTTAAAAAATAGGACATACATCTAGGTCTCTGTCGGTCCTATTGCGCGCTTCAATGCCAGTACCTCTGGTGGAAATCAAATCCACGACGAAAAACTAGAACGCTTAATACTTACCTATTATTGGTGGTTGAGGTCACCACTTAATCGGTGCAATACATTTTGGAGATATTCCTAAGTTATCCTAATTCATTAGAAAATGGAACATTGGGTAATGTATGATCAATTATGGACCCATTTTGATAAAATGCTGTAAAAGTGTATTTCGGGGAATTTTTATACCCTACATTACTTTAGTGGGGAGTGTATTATCCATTTGTGCTGATATTTGTAGCACCCAAAAATATTGGTCCTACACGAATACTAATCGGCTCAGAATCACTTTCTGATTCGATTTATGTCCATGTGAAGCTTGTGCGCACGCTACAATTTTCAAGATAATTTGATGAAATTTGGCACATACTCTTTTTTCGATACAAGGACGCTATTGAAAATGTTTAAAATCTTATCAAAAGAGTTAAAGATTAATTCAAGGGTACCGCAAGGCTCCGTTCTTTCTCCTACCCTATTTCTTATCTTCATAAATGACTTTCTATGTCAAACTTCCAACTCTATCTACTCTTTTGCCGATGACAGCTCCCTACTCCCTCTATCCTTCTTACTATTTACACCACTTATATCCGACCGAAAATGGAATACAACTCCCATGTATAGGCTGGAGCTTCGAAGTCTATTTTGGAGCTACAAGACAGGGCGAAGGTACTTATCGGTGACAGTAGGGTATCCAACTCAATTGATTCACTGGAGTACCGTCGCAACGTGAGGTGTATTTCACTGTTCTATCGAAACTATAATAGAATGTGTTTCTCTGAAATTAGGGAACTCGTTCCCGATACCCGTTTATTTTTACGCAGCACACGACTCTCATCAAGAACACACCCATTTGTGGTCAATTGGCCAGTGGACCGCACAACACATTACAGAGAAAATTCATTCTTCTTCCTGAAGAAGTATTTCCCGCCACTTTCGATATGAAAAGGTTTAAATCAAATGTCCATAAACACTACTCCATCTATCCTCCTCGGCAAAACTTAGGTTTATAGAAGTTTAAATGACACTGCCGATTTTCCCTTCAGAATATGATTTGAAGGTCAAAGTTCACTTGTAATTCACTAACAACACGACATAATTTTACATAAATAATATAGATATGGCTCTAATATCTGATACAAAGCAAGCTTGGGGAGTAATGATTACAGAAAGCAATTAATTATGTGGTCTATTACTTGTAATGTGTAATTGAGCAATAAACAATTATAATTATTTGTAATTGTAATCGAAGTTTTGCCTATTATAATTACTAGTAACTGTAATTATAATTGCTGTAATTGTAATTCAAGTTGGTCAATTACAAGTACTTGTAATTGAGGTATTACTAATTATAGTTATATGTAATCAAAGGAAAAAAATCAAATTACAAGTAACAGTAATTGAAAATTCTTCCATTTATTCCATAAATTTATTTAAGCTAATTGTACCTTTAAAACTTCATTTACAAGTAAATGTAATTACAAGAAATTTGAATTGTAATTGAAGTTTTGCCAATTATAATTACAAGTAATTGTTATAAATGGAAAAAATAAAGAATTTCTAATTATAATTATAAATAATTGTAATTGGAAAAGCTTTAATTACAACGCACAATTTCAGAAAATAACTGCGAAAAATTGAACTTGCTCCGCAACTCATTACATTTTAACTCCACCGTATAATGCCTCTCTTTTTGCTTCCTTCTTCATAAAAATCTTTATAATATTTACATATATAACGCTCCACAAATCATATACATACGTTTCATAAAAAGCCTTATAAACTTAAAAAGTTAAAAAAAAGTAAATATGCCATAAATTATGATCAAAATGTGGGTGAAGTAAATACTTTTTAATAAGCTTAAATTATGAAATTGTGCAAAGTTAACAACAAGTAAAACTATACTAAGTAAATATAAAAAAATTCAGCAAAAAAATTTTAAAATTATATGCCAAATTACTAATGCTATAAATTCGAGTATTCATTAATTAATAATTTATTTATCTTTTTAACTTTTTCCATTACAGCTTTTTGTTTTAACAATTTGCCATTAACAACGACAGCTAGTAAAAAGTTTATTTAAAAATATTTAATAATTAAACAAAAAAATTGCAACAAAAAAAGTCATAATAATTATAATTATGTGTTTTTACAACAATTAATAGTTAATTTAAAATCATTACTTCATAAAGGAGAGATAATCGACCAAACAATACAACTTAAAGTGTTTATTCTTATTGTTTTTCTTCAATTTTGTGTAAATAATTAAATTAACATAAAAATATTACAAAAAAAAATAACAAGAAAATAAAAAATAATTAATCATAAAAAATAAAAAAAATACATTAAATTTATTTATTTAAAAAATCATAAAAAGATAAATAATAAATAATTAAGAGAAATAAACAACAACCGAGAAAAAAACGGACTTCAAGCGTAAATATTAATGCATCAAGGATTTTTCATACGAAGAAATGTTTAACAACAACATTTAGGTAAATATTTATTATTTATTATTTATTTACTACCAAACAATAACTAAATATTTAAACATATGTCTGCATATTTAATTAGTTAACAAAGAAATCTAAATTTATTTCTTTTAAGCTTTAATATTCATAATTTATTTGTTTATCTTTTGTACCTACTCAAATGTACTTAAGTATGACAATTCTTTCTTTTTTTCATATTTTTATTTTAAAATCTTTAAACGTTTTTTTGCGTTTTTCTGTGATTATTTAAGCAGAACCTCTTTAAAGTGTAATTTTGAAAAAAAGTATAATTTTTAACCTTGAATATTAAAAATAATATACTTAGTAATATTGATTTATTTGAAATATACTTATGTAGTGTGTGTGATTGAGCATAAAAATATATGTTATGTATTTAAATAGATTTTTTCAAGGGTCTCGTGCTTGAAGATGACAAATAGATAATTGCTATGCGCCCCAATACACAATTCATGCATTAAATCTTTTGTAATAAAAAAGCAACTGTTAAAATATAATAGATAGTTATATAAGTATGTATATGAGAGGTATAAAAATCTATACCCACCACTAATAATGGATTATTTGGATATTGATATGGGCATCGATTCATTATTTCGAAAAGGTCCCATACAACCGGAACCCCGAATAATGCTTTAGAGCTTATAATTGTTTCAAATAAATTAGATCTACAATATTGAGAAGATCTCAAACTTATATGACCCTTAATCATATTGTTGATTATTGTTATGATCGGACCACATTAGATCCTAGCCTATAGAATTATTTAAGAAAAAAAAAAATTGATTTCAACTGGCATACAAATATCCGGACATAGCATAATCGAATACGTTATCCAAAAGGATCCAAAATATATATAACACTATACAACAAAATCAAATTTTTTCCAAAATTACAAGGTCCGACCAATAAATTTTGATAGAGGAGACAAAAACAAAAGACACGTGTATCGGCGTTTTGAAAGTTTACATCTGAATTTCATTTGAGCGAGTGTTAAAGTTTCCCAACTCTGGTACATTCTTAATGTTAATCGGCATAAGAAATCATGAGAACCTTCCATTTTAGGTATAAAATGTGTTCAGCAATATAATGTAAAATATTACGGAGAACATTTTGTAGAATATTTTAACCCTCTAACTCCTCAAGGTATAGGTCTTTTTTGTCCTTCTTTTAAATAAAGAGCAAAAACACTATTAAAACTGGGATTTAAGGGGTTAAAATGTTCCGCAAAAATATTCTTCGTGAAATTTTACTATTAGTCCCTGAATACACCAATATGGAAAATTCAACCAGAAAGTCAAAAATAAGACAACAAAAGAGAGCTTAGGGTTAATTTCGCATTTATTAAGAATTTTATTTTAAAGTACCCCAAAAATTTAACATGAAAAAATTTCGAAAATTTTTATACGGACGGGACCTGGTGCATGCCCATTTTTTATCTAAAATTCAACTTTAGGGCGAAAATTTAGGAATTTCTGAAAAGTAGGCTAATTGCCAATCCGTTGATATGTAATACGTCTACCTTGTCCTTTTCATATGTAAAATTAAGGAGGAAATATTTAACATCTCATGGTAAAATTGTGACAGCAAAAATTAAATAATACATAACGTCACAATGATTAAAAATCAAAGGGATCGAATTTTACGAGATATTAGATATTTCCTCCTTAATTTTACATGTGAAAAGAACAATGTAGACATGTTACATATTAATGGATTGGAAATTAAGTTTACTTTTCAGAAATTCATACATTTTTTAGCAATTTAGAAATTCATGGAATACTTTTTTTTAAAAATGTGGCAAAAATATTTTTTTTTAATTTTTGCGAATATAAAATTTTTATTTACGAATAATTTTTAACGAAAATTTACAGTTATGTAACCCTTTTCATTAAGAATGGAAAACTTAAAATAAATTGTTAAATTTCTTAACACAAATCCCTCAATTTCTCAAAAACATTTTGATAAATCCCAAAAATTTATTTTTTTAGTTTTTTGGCCATAACATCCATACCAAGCTCGGGGTTATCGAAACCATTTACAGAATAATTAAGAACATATTGGGTCATCTAAAATGGGTCACTATAATTTGATATTGATTATGCAATTTGAGAATTTTCGCCCTAAAGTTGAATTTTAGATAAAAATAGGCGTTTTTGACATGCATCTGGTCCCCTCGGTATCAATATTTTCAAAATTTTTTTCCATTTATAATATTTTATGTAAAGTTAGCTTTTCAAAAGGTATAAATTTTTTATACATATCTTAAAAATTTTTTGGATAACTTAAAAATAAAAAAGTACTTTTTTCCCCCAATCGCCTTTGGACTCAGTCATGATTTTTAAACAATTCTTTCACTGTTTAATATATAAACAGTGAGCTCTCTTTTGTTGTGTCTTACTTCTGACTTTCTGGTTGAATTTTCCATATTGGTGTATTCAGGGACTTATAGTAAAATTTCACGGAGAATATTTTTGCGGAACATTTTAACCCCTTAAATCTCGGTTTTAATAGTGTTTTTGCTCTTTATTTAAAAGAAGGACAAAAAGACCCATATCTTGAGGAGTTAGAGGGTTAACATATTCTACAAAAATATTCTCCGTAATGTTTTACATTATATTGCTGAACACATTTTATACCTTAAATGGAAGGGTCTCATTGTTACTTATGCCGATTAACAATAAGAATGTGCCAGAGTTGGGAAACTTTAACCCCCCCTCAAACGAAATTCAGATGTAAACTTTCAAAACGCCGATACACGTGTCTTTTGTTTTTGTCTCCTCTATCAAAATTTATAGGCCGGACCTTGTATTTTTTTTGTGTTGTACAGTGTAATTTATAGGGTCGGAAAATTATATAGAGGAAATTAGAAACGGAATGATATATTATTATATACTGGGTATGTTTCCCTGTTTTCCTGGTTATAGAGGTACTACCAATACCTCTAGTCTGACGGAACTATAAACTGGTGATGATCAAATGGAATGATTGATATGCGGTAGAGCCAGAAGACCACACAATCTGGTACTATGGGTGGCCAGTTTGCCGCAGGAATTTGTCCTGGCTGGTCAGTTGGTTGAGGTTCCTTCGGATCCACGTAGTAGCTGTGGTTTATATGAATTTGTCAATTAAAAGACTGACATGCGGTGGAATCTATGATTCGGGATAAGTTCGGCGCTGTTGCTGAAGTCAACAGATAACCCACAGAGAAGGACTAAGCGTTGGAAATGAATTAGTGTTAAGTGTATATGATACAGGATGAATGTAGTGTTATACCCGCCCGTATACCTAGAGTGAGTGTGTCGGATGTTCTCTATGAGTGTGTCGGATGAATGAGATGTGTGATGGGCTGAATGTTGATGGATGAAAGATATCTTATACAAGTGATACCATTCAATTTTCATTCCTTGTCCAGGTATGTCCAGGTATGTTCAGAAAAACCAGATTTATCCAGTGTGTTTCTGTGAATAAGAACAGTCTGGGTTTATTTGATGGATTCGTACTTCGTTCTACCGGTTACGTCTCTAGGTGCTGTTGCCGACTAAACAGAGGACATCCCATCTGCGTGGTTGTAATCATAAGTGATGTTCTTGTATCTCGGAAGTTAAGCAATGGGGCAGCAATGGTCAGAGATTAGATATCTCAAGTAATTGAGCAAAGTGCACGTATACAAAACCGAAAATTCCATATACGTAAATTGCGTGTAAGAAGCACAATGAGGCGGTGGTGATTCGTCACAGAAGCTCATCCAGTGGTTGAAAAGGACCATCGTGGAATGGGCCAACATGGCAAGTGTTCACGTAAAGCACTCGACATTAATACCCTTCTCAGAACCAACCCCCCTCTTGGGCATGTTTTCTTGACAAACTTCTCCTCTTAGTAATATTGAAATCCGAGGGAAATGCGGTGCTACCAATAACCGAACGTCCACAGGGCAAAGTTTCGACTTTGCCTTGTCGCGGTTATTGAATAGGTACCTTCGGGGTGCACGTGGTCGTTTAAACCCAAACGCGGGAAGAGAATATTAGTAGAAAGACAGTATGGTGAAGTCTATAATTCGGGATAAGTTCTATGCTGTCGCCGAAACAACAGATAGTGTGAGTGTGTCGGATGTTGTTCTCAATAAGTGTATCGGATAAATAATAAGTGTGCTGGGTTGAATGGTTATGGATGAAAGGTATCTTATATAAATTATACCATTGAATTTTTCTTCCTTGACAGGGTTAACAGAATAAACTCTGATTCATACCAAACTTATCACATTGTGTTCTTTGTGAGAGTTGTACGGCACTTTTTCCGTACAAATTTTGGTTCATGCATAGCTGGGAGTATGTATACTTTTGTAAAATTCATGGATGGGAGTATGTATTTTTCGATATACCACAAAGTAAAAGTACATCTGCTTTAAGTTATAAAAGTGGATCTGATCTGATCAGCTATTTATCTGATCTGATCCGCAGTTTATCTGATCAGCTTTCGAATATCTCTGATCACATAAACAGCTGATCAGATCAGATCTTCATTTATAACATAAAGCAGATGTTCAGTCAGTGGTTGTAAAAGTACCAAGCACTTCGACTTATACCCTTCTCTCAAAGGTGAAGTCTATAAAAGGCATAATCTTAGAAATTTTTGAAAATCTTTTGCTAAAATCTTTCATATTCGTTTAATAAATGGTATATTATTTTACAACAAAAAAAAAACTACAATTAATCACATTTTTATAACCATAAAACACTAAAATTATACTACTTCCATTAAGTTCTAATTTTATACACAAATTTATGGCAAATTTTCTTGTCAACTTGTTTGAATTGCAATGCACAAAAAGTAAAACAAAAGTAAAAATTTAATAATTCAAATCTAAATTCATATAAATATTTAATCACACTCTTTACTTTGATAAACAAAATGACATCATTTTATTCATCAACCAGTGATCATAAATATATATATATATTTTTTTTTTCAATTTAAACGGTGTC